GAGGATTGAAAAGACAATTTTAATATACGTACTGAAAATAGAGATTGAATCTCTTAGGAACAAAAATTCTGTTCTCATATCATCCAGCCATACATTGAGAATATCTATGCCAGATTCATGGTGAAATATTCCTAATGCATGGATATACCATTGAACTAAACTCAGGTAAATTGTCTAAATGCATCACTAAAACTAATTTATTAAAGGTTCATTCAAATAACTATAATGAGACATAAACACATTAGAAACATATTTTAATAGTTTATATGAAGTGTGAACCACTAGATTACACTTGAGAAACAATGAAAAATGAAAATTGGTAAAAGATATAAGATATGCATAAATACACTTTAGAAACCAGCATGAGTCTTATTAATACTTAAAAATTGCTTTCTCTTTTCTAACTATTTGGTTGATATAAAGTGAATATCAGTTGATACAAAGATTAAAGTATTGGTATTGGGTATTGTGTTGGATAACTCAAATTCAAATACTATATGCATGGATATGATTTGAAAATGCATGGTTACATACAGAAGATATAGAAACACTTTGATACATTAGGGAATTCCATACAAATCACATAAAACAACACATTCTAAAGCTGAACTGTCTATGAATAAGGTATAAATGCATGAGAAATGCACAATTAAACAGGTTATATGAAGAGAAACATTATGATCAACAATACTTGGATTCTAGAACATGTATATACAATACAATAATTATCACTCTATTTCACTTTTTGTTAAAATTTTAGAAAATTTATTTATTTAGTATTTTATATAAATAATAAGTCTTTTTTAAATAATAAATATATTTTCATTTTTAACATATATTTGTAAAATAAACATATAAATCATTTAAGGTATACAAAATAAATTATTTTTATAAATTTCAGTTTGTATTTAATTTTTGGGGAAATTAAATCTTAAATTATTTATTTTGGTTTTTATAATTATAATTTTCATTTTATTAATTTTATTAGAAATTTTATTTATTTAATATTTATATAAACAATAACTCTATTTTTTTCAAATAATAAACATGTTTTCATTTTAACATATAATTTATATGTAAAATAAAACATATTAAGGTAGATAAATAAATTATTTTTATAATTTTTAGCTTTTATTAAATTTTTGGAATAAACTAAACATTAAATTATTTATTACAATTTTATAATTATAATTTTCAATTTTTATTAAAATTCAAAAACAATCCAAAATCAATCAATATACAGTCTCATCAAACTAGACACCAATACACTTCACACCATATCCACAAATACAGTGTGATGCAACCCGATATCGAGGCGTATCATGCCAATACACAATTCATGAGATACATGCCCAATTATGGTGTATCTGTATCCATGGCCATGGATTATAAATACTTTAACCTTGGTTGATACTCAATGGTATTGTGGATAGAATTAATGTCACTACCCTTGCCCCATCACCCATGCAAATTAAATGAGCCATGATCTCCTTCCCCATCAGTCCAGATGTGCAGCTGGAGAGTTTGACTTTTTCATTCTCATGTTCTCAAAATTTCACTATTTTTTTTTCTCTTTTCTATGCCACCTTCCGTAACTAAAATCATGAAGAGATCCAATTTTTCTAGTTAACATTAAGGCTCAGTTTGGGAAGAGTAATATTATAAATACAAGGTTTAGAAATATAATATATGAGGTTTTGTACTGTACATATCTTACCAAACTGAGCCTAATGTGTAATATGGTTTGGGTCAACCCAAAACCCAATAGACCCAACATGATTTTGGGCTAGTTTGGGTTAGAGATTTTATAAATTTGGTTGGGAAGAATGGGTTCAGTTAGGGATTGGTGGCAACTCAACCAAACCCAAATCTGAGTCCATATGCGTGTTTTATGTATAACCATTGGACCCTTAAAAATGCCATTTTGCTAGTACAACAGCGAGATTTTGTGCATTTATTGTGCTATTCTGACCCAATCAGACCCATTTTATGAAAATCAAATCAATTGGTCGACTTGGACCAAGCCACCAAATTGCACCTATGGAATCAACTGAGGGGTAGCCCAGTTGGTGCACTGAATRAATTGTCCTAGCAGTGGTGTAGTTTTGAATCCTACTATTATCAAAGAAAAAGTTGTTGATGTAATGTTGTACTGTTTACTTAAAAGAGTAACCACCCCTGAGGGGTGGGGTATCAGACAACAATTAATACAAAAAAAAATGAAAAAAAAAACCACTGCACTGGTCAACCAATTTAATTAGATGAAGTTTAGAATGCTTTCAAAATTTTGCTAATTTTCAGTTTCATATATGGAAATTGATTAAAAATTTTGGATTTTCTATTGAAATTTATCCAACTATTTCATATTTGGTGGTGTTAAATTTAAGATTTTATTAAAAACCTTAGGCTCAACTTGGAAAGAGAATCAAATATGTATCTTACAGATACATATAAAATAATATAATACAAGATTTTGCACTCTACATATTCAAATTTGTACTCCTTCCAAACTGAGCCTTAGGGGCACAAGGGATGGGTGTGAATTCAAATTTTTCCTTAGTTTGAAAAAATAGTTACTTTATTTAGAAAAAATTAAAAGATTTATGGTGGTTAATCACAACCCCAACTGACCCAACCCAAAGAATTTTGTAATGTAGCTATAGGGCTAGATGGCCCAGTCTGATCTTGTCGTCAACATCCAAAGCTTATTTAAATTTCTAACTATATAGGATTGGCTAGATGAGACCTATTTTGATTTTTTGTTGGTAGAAACTGGAGGTGCTGCACAAGATGAATCCTATTTTGTATTTTTTTTTTTTTTTGGGTAGTAAATCCCCAAGAATCACAAAAATAAATATAAACTTAGGACAAAAGGAGAGCATCAGCCTTTAATAAGAGGACACCCAAAGCGACATTGAGGGTTTCATACTTTCATTTGCTAGTCAATCCACTGCTTGATTGGCTTCTTGATAGACATAGTGATATGCAACCCCCAAACTCCAAAGATTAATTCATCTTCAAACACTCTTCAATGATGTTTTTCAGTGACTTCAGTCTTTATGGCACATCAAATCTTTTTCTGAAAAAGTGAAATGACCCTCGAAAATATTATAACGATGTTTAAAATTCAGGGCAATATTATGGACTTCCCACGCCCACGCCTTAGCTAAGTAAATAGTAGTAATCCCTATATTATAAGCCTTAAGATCCATGACATCCCCAACATGGTTCCTAGCAATAAGCTATATAACAAACTCCATTGCTGCTATCAGAAGCATCAAAGCTTGCTTTGATCAACCCCTGCAGCTAGGGCATTTGGGAGAGGATGGGATCTATTATTAAAAACCCTATCATTTCAATTCTTGCACATATGCATGCATTTTCTTTTACAAGGATGTCAAAGTTTATTAAATCTCCATCTAATGTTTCCTACCAATCCTCCATCGACACACTACCAACCCTATCATATTTTGTCATTTTATTTGGGTTTTTATAAATTCTTCTACCTCAAAATTTTATGGGTTTGTAATAGCACGGTTGAAAGAATGCAGTATAGGTGGGATTTAGGATAATACATTCAAAAAAAAAAAACTGAATAAAACCATAAATTTTCCCTTTACTTCAATGTCATAATACCCTAAAAAAAATTTTAAATGCTCACGACCAACCTAACACAACCGTTCTTTATCCATGTTGGGGATGACGGTGTGAAAACAAATTCACACCAATGGAGTTCAACCCAACCTGATCTGATTATGGCCCCGTTTGGGGCAACTTCTGCACTTGGGACGAGTTGTGTTAATTCAACTAAGATGGTTGTGCACCGGAGTAGCTTCATAATACAATTATATTTCTCGATTTGAAACACCAATTTCGGATTTTCGAATTTTCACCAAACATAGCTTTTACGGGGTCTAGTTAGGAACACCAAAACTAGAGGTATAAATCGGGCAGTCAAGCATGGCCTGCATGCAGCCCGTGCAAAATGTGGGCTGTGCTTTTCCTTCTCTAGGATATTTTGAGGGGTTAGTCCGGTATGGCTCACAGCCCAAACCCATACGGACCCGTGTCSTACTGCAGTCCAAGCTGGTCTACAGGCTGAGTCTTGGGCCAATTCGGGCTATAGACCAGGCTAAGCCATGTTTTTTAAAAATTTAAAAACAATAACGAAAATTTTAACAAAATTAAAAAAAATAGACAAAAATAAAAAAAAAATCTTAAAATTTTATTTTATATGAATTTTAATATATACAATTGTTTATATATACAATAATAATATAACATAATTGAAAATAAAATTATATATTAGTATATTATATAATTATTATATATAATATAATATATACATATTATATTATATATATATATAAATATATATAGACCGTGCTGCAGGCTGGGCTGTATGAATACACGGGCTACGGACAGCATAGCCCGCTTGGTTGTGCCATACCATACGGGCCCATAGACCTAAAACCCTAAGCCCAACATGGTTCATACGATCATGTCGTGCCTAAACCCGCAGTTCATAGTACCAGGCCATGCCAGGTTTGAGGCAACAAAACCCGATTTACACCTCAACCCAGAATCCACGTCCCTAAAAGCCCTCCTAAACAAGCATTATAAAAATGGGGCTACTGGAATTGGGATAGGGTTGCACATTCTAAGTTTCTAGTTAAGGTTGGGCTGGGCTCATCAACTCAATCCAACCGGAATTGCAGTCCTCAATGCCCAACCGGAGTTGGGCTTAAGTTTTCCGACATTTTCCCCCATCTGTCAATTGATTCTTCTGAACTCTAAAAACTGAAAAAGGCCCATCTTTTTTATCCCAATATTATTGTGAAGGGAAGGGACCCAGCCTTCAGCCGGTAGTCATTTTTCACCGAAGAAACCAGAAACACAGAACATTATCTACAAATCTCCACGTGGCAAGCCTTATTGATCCACCGACTCAGACAATCCATCCATTTCCGTCGAGGAGTCTATCCACCGACCACCAACAATTCTCCTTCACAAAACCAGAACCCCTAAACAAAGCCCTCCCCTCCCCCATCTGATTCAGTCATTGACTCCTCCCCACCCGACCCGAGCCCAGAAGAAACAGCAACCATGGTGACCGTCGCCGGCCTAGGCACCTCCACCCTCTCCCCTTCTTGCGTCGCTTCACCAGAATAAGCCTCAGCTCAGGTACCATCCTCTTAAAAAATGTACCTTTTGTTCTAAAACGCGCCATAGGTGCTGCGATGGGTGAGCCCTGAATTTCTGATGGTTTGCCTTGTATGCGTGGAAATGATCAGGTTTCATGAGAGTTCCGGTGGCTACCTGAAACCCATTGAAAAGCTCGCTTCCATGCACGGAAGGCTCACATGGTAAATATGAATACTGATTAAGCCTAAATGGGGGTTTCGGGTTTCGACCATTTGGTCGTATTAATTGTTCTTGTACTTTTGTTGTGTTAGCTTTGAGAGAGATTGGTTGCGGAAGGACCTGAATGCGGTTGGATCCGGGTTGATCGGGTGGATTTTAAATTTTTTCCTTCGAGCATTCCATTTATCAACGGCAAGAGTTTAACCGGGTTATTTTTTTGAGAGCATTGGTGCTGAGCTTGCCAATGGCCGACGGGCCCTGCTTTGAGCTTTCACTTGTCAGTTTTGGTGAGTATAACCTGAAAAGTGAGAACTCAGTTCAGACTCAGAGTCAACTGTGTTAACTCACGGAACCAATTTGAACACAGAAAGTCAGAAACCTAGATTTATTTGCTAATAATGGGTTTGGTTATAATGATGAATGTAGGTTGTGGCTGATGGTATTGGCATCTGGGCCCAACCCTATGAATTGGGCCCAAGGCCCCGCCTAGACCGAACCCAAGTCAAGCCTGAATATTCTAACCTGGGCTCAACCCAAACCGCAATATGGGGAGGGCTGATGAGTGTGTATGTACTTCTTTCAGCCTTCGGAAGGTCTGTGGGACTGTGAAGCCTAGCCTCTGTATCCCTTAGCCACCAACAATATTGCTTGCCATGTGAAGTGAAAGTTGAGAAAATGCTCCAGTGAAAATATCATCCTTTTCTTCAACTCTGCCAAACCACAGGATAAGCCCATATTCATAACCATTGAAACCCAATCCAGCCCATCACACATTTATCCCGTGGGCTTTTTATAGACTGACCAGTGAGCAGTTGTCTGTCTTCAACTGAGACTGGGCTTGGACAAGGAACCATGAGCTTGTGAATAGCAGCAGCCCGGTTCTCTCTAACTCAACGTTTGAGAGGGTGATTTTGCAAGTAAATCTTACCTTTAGGCCCTGTTTGCATTTTGATAAGTTATTTATCCGGGTAAATGCACTTACCATGTAATTCTTTCCTAGGAAAGATTTACCGAGTAAGTACATTTATCAATGTTGTTTTATTTTCCATGTAAATAAGGCAATGACCATTTTATCTATAAAAGAACCATTATTACAAGGGGTATTTTTGTCCCTTTCAAGTGATGGCAACTTTCCCCCAATGTGGGAAAGTTATTTACCCACATAAATCTGAAAAAAGAACATGAAATTTTTTGTTTTCCCTCCTCTCAAAATTCAGAAAAAGAACGCCCCCCTTAGTGTCRTTACCTATCATGCCAGGTGTAAAATGGCAGAGATCATAAGTCTATTCTTCATAAGAAGTGAAATTTCTTTTACAATATGCCCAATTTCTACGGAGATTCAGTGCACGATTCATTGAATTTAAATTCCCCCTTTGTCAACCTTAGCAAAGAAATGCAAGATAGGTGAAGAAATCATCTCATATCCTTTCAAGTCCACTATCAGGAATCAATGTGAGGTACAGAATGGTTAGCAACTTCAAAAGCAAGTTCTAACTGCCAGTGAATTTAATGTTGGTGTTGAATTCAACAGTTTAATGTTACCACGGTATACTGGTTCAGGATGGAGGTTGGTCTTAATAAGACCCTAGCGCTGCCCAATAAATAGATGCATAAATAATCATTTTGTTAATGGATTATTTATTTAGATATATATAGAATTATAATTATAGTTATTAAGATTTATAAAAATAAAATTCAGTTTCCATTTTCTCTAATTTGGAGACTGGAATCAGCCCAAAAGGTATCGTGCTAATTCAGACCGAGGTACTCAACTCAAATTGCAGTTAGCTCCAGTCACCTTAGGTTATGTTTAGTTTGAAGGAAAATGCGGGAAAGGTAGGGAAATCTTTGCAAATCTTGTATAGATTTTCCTGTCTTTTCTTTCCTCTCCCTACCTTTTCCTTCAAATTAAACCAAACATAGCCTTAATTGATCATTTGTTGGAGGAAAATTCTAATCCTCCATGGAGCGTTCATATGCTCATTTCTTCTTGCAAGAGTCTCTCATGTTAACTATCACAATTCTATACTCAATGGGGCTGTGCTCATTAAAAAAAAAGCCAAATTTTCTCTAAATTGTAACACCCCTAAGACTTTGTATGCACCACTGAATTTCTTGTTCCTATCTTGCAATTTGTTGTAACTGAGTTTTGAATTGAATAGATTAGCCTATTTACAAAAAAAAAAGGATAGATTAGCCTTCAGACCTTTACAAAAGAAAATGTTGGTTCCAACTATTTGGGAGGGGGGTTTGGGAGAGGTAGATTGGATACCGTTCTAGCCTTCGGCTTTTTTTTTTTATATGTACAAAGCGGTGTTCTACACTTGACAGCCCATGATTTTACATGCTTTCTCTTTCATGCTGGAGGTGTGGAATAATGGTGGTTATATGCTCAGGAGAGAGAGAGAGATTTTATAATAAGATGATAAAAAAGTGAGGAACAATAAAGCCTGTAAAACAAAATAATTAATGGCTCTTAACCATTAAAAAATGTTAGTAAATTCGTCCATTAAATAGTTGGCAAATGACAATAGCTGGTAAATTTGTTGAATCTATGTACTCAAAAAAAACTTGTTGAATCTAAGAAGAGGGCTAGGCCAAATCGTTGTAATATTGTGATAGCCACTTTCTTATGATGCCTACTTCTCTCTTCCTAACGTCTCGAAGCCACTCTGGATCTTCTTTAGTTGAAAACCTCAAATCTACATGGTGGGCACCTGCCATTTGTCATTGTAAACCATACATATGAGAGAGAGAGAGAGAGGTGTTATCTACAGAAAATATTTGTCTCCTAACAGGTTGGAGGGCATGCATTCTATCATAACCATTTTACATACTAACTTTAGGATTTTGGTGTTTAGGATTCATAGTTTAGATTTTAGGTTTAGGGTTTAGGGGCTTAGGTTTTAAGGTATAAGGGTTTAAACTTTAAAATTAAAGTTTAGCAATTTAGGGTTTAGATAAAAAATTCAGAAGATGGTCAGAAGCTTTCATCTGACCATAGTAGGAGCCAAGTATTTGCCGTTATCTACCAAGTACTAACCTTCTTTTGCCACAATGGCAATGATACTCTTGGATATACTCTCAAGAACCCTGCAACCATGAAGAAACGTGAGATAGGAAGAACCCTGCAAACATGAAGAAATGAGAGAGAGAGAGAGAATACCCTCCACCACTCCAAGGATCTCTTAAACCATTGAAGAAGATGATGTTGCTGCCGAACCGCTTCAAGACCCTCCTAATATCCTGTGAAAATAAATCAAAGCTCAAAATATTAAGTTGCTTTGCATCTTCAGTGAGATTACATGCAGCAACAATGTCTAAAATATATAGTGCAATATGTGCGATGCTTACATAACCACCATATTCAGTTGTAATCCAATGCGGCCTTGGATTAATGCCAAATGCAAATTGGCAATTGGTGGCTCGGTTCGCGTAATCCCATTCTGATGCTGGAAATATGCTGTCATTCTTGTTTCCGTCTGTTGGCAATATCATCTCTGTACACGCCTGAGTCCACGTATATCATCAAAGTTCTACAAGTTAACCTTATATATTGTAGAACTAATGTATTAGACCAAAAAAGAAGAGAAAAAAAAAGGGAAACAGCTCCCTTTTTTTTAACCACCTCTAACCATCAATTAAATATATTAATATTTCAAAATTAATTTTTTGAGCAAAAACTATTTTTCTTGTAATAAATATAAAAAAAAATTATCTATACAAATATAAGACGATATACAAAAGCACCAAGATTAATCCACAAAATATACTAAAGATATCCTAAGCACAAAAGAAAAACACCCCTCCCACCTCTTCCACAGCCCCTTTGACACTCTTAGGCTAAGTTTGGGAGTGTTTGTTTTTACGTGTTAATTCAAATAAGTACTTATTTGGGCCAAGACCACATCAATAAGCATTTATATGCGTTTGGGAAATAAGCCCAAATAAGTGTTTATTCTTAAAAATAAGCACTTGTTCAAAACGTTCAGCTTTTGAATTTATTTTTAAGTGCTTATTTCCTTTATGGCCCATCTTGGCCTGCAATGTCATTTTGAAAATAACTATTGATGAGGGCGGATTTGACCCTCCAATGACATTATGACGCATGACATTTGGAACAGCTAGTTGATACATAGATACCACCTAAGCAATGACTTGGAGTCCCAAATCGTGGTTTCTCTTCGTTTAAGCCCGACGACCTGCCTTCATCACCAACCTGGCGACCTTGACCATAACTCAAGTCGGCTAGAAGCACCTCGTCCAGGGCCGACCTGCAGCACCCTGTCACTGACCGAAGTGACCTCGACGCAAGTTGCGACCTCCCTCGAGGGTGCGTCGGCCTAACTGAGGTCCAGGTGGCGACCTGCAAAACGTGTTTGCCGACAAATTCGGCATGCATATCCCGACACTCCCATGATTCTTGGAAGTTGGCCCACGTGCTGAACGTTCTGGAGGGCGGTCAACATGCATGATGTTTACCTCTAAGGATTTTGGATCAGTTAGGCACGATCTCCCARAAATCTTGGATGTGGTGCGTGAGGCGCACACTTAACAATGCCCATATAAAGGCACCAACCCCAAAGACCCAAGGAGGAGAAAAAAGAGTGGTACGCACGCGATTACTTGCATCCAAGCTCTCTACCACTCAAATTCTAGCTCGCAACCACAACAGAATACTGACTTAAGCATCGAAGCGACTTACCCGAGTCATCCACCTCGGTCACTCTGATCACTGTTTTGCAGTTTACTCCAACTCATCACTCGAGTACGTCCAAGCGACCCTTCAGCTAGGAGCTTCTAGATCGTGCATCATCACCTATATTACCCCTATTTGAAATAAGTGTTTTTTCACCAAACACTCATGAGTCTGGCTCATCTTGGCCAGTCATATCATTTCGGAAATACCTATATTACCCCTGTTGAAACAAGTGCTTTTTCACCAAACACTCATGAGTCTGGCTCATCTTGGCCAGTCATATCATTTCGGAAATACCTATATTACCCCTGTTGAAACAAGTGCTTTTTCACCAAACACTCTTGAGCACTTATCAAGATAAGTACTTATTTTTAAACATTTATCCAATAAGCACTCCCAGACAGGGGCTTAGAAGCATCTCTTCCTCTTTCCCTATCACTAAAAACCTTCTTTGGATGCAATAGCACCATTGTATCCACGTACAAGTCAACTACCACCTTAATTTTCAGCTTCCAGTGTTGGGTTGGAGGGGTGTTAGTTTTGGAAGTATGGTTTACTGGGTCTAAAATCACCAATAAGGTATTCATGCATGAAATGAGATTTTTCATTCTGAAACCAGCTGAAATACGAAAACACCCACAAGCTAACCATGGCCTAAGGTAGATTTTGAAAGTTCAGAAAAGATTATCCGAGTTTAAGAATCACATAACCAACCAAGTGATCAAGAAGTATCAAGGTATCACTCAGTGACTGAGCTGGAACCTCGTGACCATGGTTATCACACTTTCCCCAAATTTAGAGTTATCAAACACCAAGAGTTATTTTCTTTATTACCCAAATTTMGTGCCCATTTGGGAGGGCTTTGATGCAGCACATTATGGCTTAGCAAGGTGGGTCCTATATGGAAAAAGCATAAAAGCAAAGCAGCTATGTTTGGTGAAAATCCGGAAAGCTCAAGTAAAACTTTCTGGTGAAGCCAGTCTTAGTAGTTACACTTGAAAGTGGTTTAGTCAACAACTCAACACAGTTCAACCGAGCAATTAATGAAGTTGATAAAGAAGCCTCACCAAATGTACACAAAAATTAAAAAAGAAAAAATACAAATTTTTTAACCACTTTTTCTGTACTATATCCTCCATTAACCAATCTAGGCCACATGATAAACTAGTGTTTTCTTAGCATCTTTTGGGGCAATGCCTAGACATTCATCTACCCAGTTTAGCTAGAATGAATTGATACAACTTTCCAAAGCCACTCTTGTTAGCAGTTAGTTATCATTGCCCCTTTGGGAGGACTCAGGTGGTCCCACCTAAAAGCTTTCTATAATTAAGTTAGCCTTTTTTATGATTGAAGCTTTTTCATTGACTTCTTCAAAGTAGCTAAGTCAAAGCAATTCAACCAGAATTTGTTTAAACCCTCTCAAAYGAGGCCTCAATTCTATTTCAAATCAATCGATTAACCAGTTGAATTTTTCAGTTTTTTATTTGGAAGTGAGTAGGTTTTATGAGCACCCCACTCAATTCCAAAGAAAATCTTACCTTAAGAACAAGTTGGTTAACAAAACAGAAGAAGGGTCATGTGCATTAATTGTACTATGTCAAAGCTAATATTAGCCATAACACAGGCTGGACCTGTGCTAATTAGGTATGGAGATTTGTGTAAGAAGTAATTCGTTGGAACATTTAATTAATTATCCCATGACTCATCTTGCCCATCATTTGACTTCAATGCTTAAACAAGACAAGATTGATTCTAACAAGGCACTCTGTATATTTGGAAGCTATGGTCCATTAGGCGCATTTGTAATTTATTCAACCCTTGAATTAAACTTCTTTGTGACTTTTTTGTATGTCAAGCACATGGATCTGGGTCCTACATGCCTTTCTTTTAAATCATTTGATTAAATCATTGGGACCCAAAAACTTTTTGTTTTTATTTTATTTATTTATTTATGTTACTTTAGTGTGTTTAGATACACATTCTCTATTACAGCACTAAGTAACATTTGTATATTTATATTTATTTATATAAATATAATATATATATATCTGTTATTTATTCATTTATAAATATATTATTTATATTGTATTTTTGTAATTTTTTATAAAAACATTTATATATGATGAAAATAATTAAAAATACATTTATTTTTTATTTAAGTTGATATATTTTATTTTTATTTTTATAATTTATTAATTAAAAAAATAAATCGGACCGGATCAAATCCAAAGATTCGACTTCACGATTGGATTCAAATTCAGATATTTACCTATCAGATCCAATCGGATTGGATCTGCCATGAACAGTGTCAGATCAGATTCGGATATATTCTGATTCGAATCTAATTCAATCAAATGATTCCGATCCATTTGCATCTCTACATCTACCCTTACATAACAAATGAGCTATTCTCCTTGTGTGGTTGCAGATTTGCAATGACTTGTTTGAATATTGAGAGTGTTTTTTGAGTCCGAATCACCCGCCAACAAAACACATTCCAATGCTCTACCAACAATAGACTTTGAATCTCCTGTTCATGAGAATTATGTCCACGCCTACCCACAATACATTATCCCCTGTAAATTGGGAACATCTCTCCCTGCATAATACTATGCATATGATGAAATGTTCTCCATTTGTGGCTGCGATAAGCATGGGCAGAGTTCTCATGGGTAGGAGATCCAAAATCCAACCAACATTATCTCACATGTCATGACAGGTCTCATTTTTACGATGGATCCCGTTCTCATAGTGAGATGTGTGGTGTTAGATCAAGTCGGTAGAGATATGGACTGTGTTTTGTTGGCAGATTTTGAGTAAGGCTATAGGTAGGTGGGGTGATAATATGCAAATCGTGTACAAATTTTAGATGTGGAGCCCAGCCCATGAGGGCCAGAAAGGAATATTTGCATACCTGCCATGTCCATTCACTTAGGCCGTGTGGGTCTGAATCATCTTCTATGTCAAAACACGTGGCATTACCAGTGTTGTTGTAGTAGATGTTAACCGCACCGTACAATCTGGCAAAAGTGTCGTTCCCCACCGTTGGATTGTCGATGGCCTTGCACATCTAAAAGTAAAAAGCAGATAATCAAAATTTAAATAGTAGTTTTTGATTGGATTGTCATGGCCTTTTTTTATTAAAAACTGTTTCTGGCATGACTTTTGGCTTAGACAAATTCAAATAGGCCCCAAGACCCAAGACATCCATTACATAAGAAAATAGAACCATTATTAAGGGGGTGTTCACGTGGCTCCCACGTAGTATGTTCCAGAATGATGGACCTTATTAATAAGTTGTGTTTGGGAGCGGTCAGGTAGTTTTGTACAATAAGAACTTTTTATTTTTATTTATTTATTTTTAAATCATCACACCAGCAAAGAAATTGAAACATGTTTGTGAACTGTGCTTTTTGTTTAGAGAAGCAAGAACAAGTTGCTCTTTGTTTTTAAAAATCATTTATGTGTTTTAAACTAATATACAGATAATATATGATATATAATTACAATAACAAATTATTATCGAGAATTAAAATATCAATATGCCTAATACCAAAATATGGGTATATAATGACCAAGGGGTATGGATAGACTTGGCAATTGTGTTGGTGGGTCTGGGTTCAGGTCAAGACACTTCAGGTTGGGTTGTCGAATGCTAGACCCTAACCCTAAATGTTCGGTTTAGGGTTGATCCATGGGTCAATTCGGTCATCCCAAAAAATAACTGAAATTTAAAAAATAAAGAAAAACTATATGAAAATGACAAAATTAAAAGAATTAGCCTTAAAATTCTAAATATAAAATAAAAAAAACTTGAACATTTAACAATTTAAAGAGTAAACAATAAAAAGTAAAGACTAAATAAAAAAAAAAATTGAAGAGTAGAAACTTCTAACAATGCATAAATAGTCCTAAATAAACTTGACAATCAAGTCAATAGATTGACTCATGACCCAACCCAACCCAACCTAGTTTTTTTCTATATTGGGTCATTATCACATTCAGGTAGTTAAATATGAGACCCTAACCCTATTTTTTTGGATTGGGTTGGATTGGATCAAATTCATGGGTTGGGTCAATTTTTTGCCAAGTCTAAGTACCGAGAAGAGCTATGAGACCTTTTAATTGCTTTAAAAAACAAGTACATTGGAATATCCAAACATATTTAAGAACAGTAATATCATATTGATATTTTAATCCTTTATTATTATATAAAATTCTTTTTGTTTATAAAAAAAAATACATATATAATCTGAACTCTGAAGGTGTTGCGTTGTCTTTGAAACTCAAAAAAGAAAGAACAAATCCTTTGTATTCTGTAGTTGCAGGTTATAGAACCAGCAACACCTAAACACCACCCACATGGTCAAAACTACCGTAGAGTGATCCAGCAACAAATGAAAAACAAACAACCACCGTACCGAACACCTCCCTTAATTAGCAGCTCGAGTCAATGAACCTTAAAAAAAAGGGAGAATGACTGATCATTCACGGAGATCGGATCTGCTTATTTATTATTTACGAGAGATGCTCCCAATGTACGGTGGGATGTGCCTTTGAGGTCGTTGTGTGAGGAGCAGATCTCAATTCTATTCACTCACCGTTGTCAGACCCGAATGGAATCTGACAGTCAACCAGTGGTTTAACGATTAAAGGTTAAACTGTTAAATGGGTGAGCTGGTGATGGCTTCCCCAGTGCGTCTTATCTGTTTAAAGAATCAGGAGGATCGAATTGAGTTGCACCTGCTTAACGGGATAAGCTGGCAAGGGCTGAAGAAAGTTGGAAGGAGTCGGATAATCAGTCATGGCGGTATAAATTAAAGCTGTTTCAATCCAGCTTTCTAGATCATCTGCAGTGAATGCCTTCCTGTAGGATTAGAAGAAGGAGAATATTAAAGTTCAGATGCGGAGAATTCACATTTCCTGCTAAAGAAAATGGCGTGAAATCAAACTCTTACTTGCATAATTTGAATGAATTTCTAAGAACCTCCAGTCCACCCTGTTGTTTTGCAGTGTCCTCAATCTCCTTCCATGACCCTTTGATCACTTTGTAGCAATTCTCACTTTCACTCTGAATTTGAATAAAATTATAAGTAAATAAAKCTATAATATGTTGATAATTCATCAAGTTTCTTATGTTTTTCTGGTATTTTTTGAGATATCAGTCATAAATTCTGGCAATCATAAAAAAGGATTAGAAGTTTGACAAATAATCCCTAAGAGAGAGAGAGAGAGAGAGAGAGAGTTCTGTGGTACCCTGAAATCATTTGTGATAATGCTATTGAAACCGTATGGAGAAGTGAGGTCTTCAAAATTCAGGATTGGAGAAGAAGATGCCAAGGCTCCAACAACAACATGTGGGTATTTCAGTCTAAACCATGCAGCCAACACTGCAAAACCCAGAAACCCAATTCAACAACTTCACCAAATTCTCATCTGAAAGTTCTAAAAATATAAAGGAAATTGGGTGAGGATTAATACAAATCAAAGCCAAATAGTTTGGTGAGAAAAGTTTATATCAGAAGTAGGAATCGTACTTCCTCCATAAGACCCTCCAAAAGCAATCACAGGAGAGTCTTCTGCAGTTAAATTCTTCTTCAGATCGATGATCAATGTGGCATAGTCGGCCAACGCCTGCGTTGAGCTCAAGTACCCGAGCGTACTTGCATTGCTGTAAGCTACCTCTTTATCACCRCCAAAAGGAATAGAACTCCCATAAAATCTATGCTGCAATTGAGAATTTCCAAACAACCATTTCGTTATCATCTAATAACCATCCAGAGAATTGCAACAGATGAATCCACGGGGCACTGCTGTACGTTGATGAACAAATTACCTCGATGAAAACCAGAAGGGCTTTGAATTTTGGTGCAGTCTCATACATGAAACCCGTGTTCTGCGCGAACCATTCAATATCTCCTTCGTTTCCGGTGTAAACAAAGATCGGAGCATTGTTTTGAGCCCCACCCCAGTACTTATCATTGATCAGATATCTCTGTTGAAAGGTCTGGTAGCTCTGTGGCTGAAAATTGAAGTGATCAAGCGTTTGAGTGAAATACTTTGTTTCATAGAACTGCTGGCTTTTGATAGACAGAGATGCTAGATCAGGCCGAACGATAGAAGAAGGGAATCTGGAAGCAATTTTGGCGTTTGAGGTAGGAGAAAAGATAAGAATCAAGAGAAGAACCCACAGAAGCGTGAAGCCTAAAGCCACTATCCTCATGTTTGTGATCTTGAGAGAGAGAGAGAGAGAGAGAGAGTGGGAGAGGTTTGACAGGTCTGGTTGGACTTAAGAAGAGTAGTATATATATATTAATATATAGCTGGAAAGAAAGAAAGAAAGAAAAGGATAGAAAGTGAAGTTTGATGGGATCTTGTATTCTTGTGTCTGTTAGTTGCGTGTACATGTCTCCATGTAACCATGTTCATCAATTGATTGCTTCTTCTGTTTCATTGGGTTCCGCGCGATCTCAAATTGAACAATTCATCCAATCACATGTCTCCGGGGTTTATCGATCGGGTCTGGACTCGGGATAGTTGGTCATCTGCATCAAGATAAATATTCCAGTCTGGGGTTGCCAATTGTTGGGATTGGGAAATGGGAAAGAATTCAAGATCTAATACTGAGAGAGTTGGACCGGATGGACCTGAACCGGCCTAATTCAAGCTGGGTTAGCAAGCCATCAACTTCAGCCCCTGAAATTGACAGGTAAGTTAGGGCGACTCCTTTTATAAATTGTTAGGAAATTTTTGCCCGTCAAGGGAGGGTTTGAAATTTGTTTCCCTGAGTTAACTCCTTACAGAAAAAAGAAATTTGTGGCCAAGATTTTCCTTCCCAACTGGAACAAGACTCGGCAGTGTTGACGAAAATACAGACAAATCAATGAAAACTGAAAAAAAAAAAAGCTGAATGAATTTGTACCCATATATTGAAATCCTTTATTTGGAACCTTCCTAGAAAGTCAAGTTAGAATTTAGAAACACTGAGGAACCCATTCGATGGGACTACCAAATGGAATTGTTGGATACAAAAGAACAATAAAGTAAATCTAACTGTGACTGTGAGTTGGGGTGGAAGTCAGGCTGGGAAAGGTCAGGTTGAGGTCAACCCTAACCCTAACCCAATTCGATGTTTCTGGTTAGGTTCAGGTTGGCCTGACTTATCTACTTCAATTCCTTCTGCCATATGTTTTTATTTCTTAGACTCAAAGGTTATTACATCACCCTTGTTCTCCTTTCTTCCATCCCTGACGGGGACCTGACCTCTCCAATCCAATGGGGTCGAGGTGGGGATTGAGGTCCCCGCCCCGCCCCACCCCAACCATATATATATATATCAAAACATATTTAAAACGTTATTTATAATTTATAATTTTATTTATTTTAAGTACATTTATTTTTCAAAAAAAATACTATTATCTAAAAAAATTTGGGGATTTGGGTCCCCACGGGGAATTCATCCCCGTTGGAGATTAGGGATGGAGGACAAATTTTATCCCCAACGGAAAGTGGGGATGGGGATGGGGGTTGATTTCAGAATCAAGGGCAGATACGGGGAATATGATCCCCACCCCGTTGCCATTCCTACTCAATTCCCCTTTTCCTACTTTTTCTTAACTCTCTCTCCTTCCTCCTTATCCCTCCCCAGCCCTCCCATTAGCCTTCCCATTAAGCCACATCATACTTACTCTCAATAATACAAAAACCTGATATACTAGAGAGCCAAATCTAAAAAAATCATGATATTTGTGTCTATCTAAAGAAAGTTTGAACAAATATTAACACCAATTAGTATGTTTCCTATTATTTTTGGATTTTTCAAAATTCACTGTTTCTCTTTGACTCTTTGTATCAACATGCACAAGTTTTAGTCAACTGCTTGCTTATAAAAAGAGGAGGAATGAGAGACTACAAAGAGAGATTTTTCAGTTCTCATAAGGTTGGTTTTAAGTTGGAGTTTTTTCTTCTTTATTTTTTAGGTGGAGTTATTTGTCACTTTGTTCTATGTATCCAAGTTGCAGAGGTAATTGAAGTTGCAAAAATCATTGTTCTGTAATGGAGGGAGAGGAGTTTCATCAATTTGTTTGAATCTTCTTCCAACTCACGTTTGTGAGACCTCATCGGTTTCTCATCCCAGACTTTTAAGTTTGCAAACCTTTTAGGCTCTAGATTTATGTGTATATGATCCGAGTCCAATCCAATTACAAGACTACTCCTTGTCYCGCAGTGTGCAGCTCATGCCCCTAACGACTCGATCATTGTCGTCTACCCATAGACTGACACGTGTCCCGCTACTGTTCATCTACCTCAATTAGAATAACATCAAATTGGCGCCATATGTGGAAACTGAATCAAAAGTCTTCAACTCTATAAATTCCATCACTTTCAACGACAATGCCTTAGAACCACTTCATTAGTCGGTCTGACTAGTCTAGCAACAACTCTCCCAAGGGCTCTCACCCATGAGCAATTCATTAATAGAGGTGAAATTTAAAACCCACCCGTACTGTCGCGGGACGTGCTAGGCCAACACACGGGCATGTGTGGTCGTGCTTGCTTGGCCTATAACCCCCCTCAGCTCAAAAGTGATTAAAATTAGCTTAGTGATTGAAACAACAATCAACTTCGATGGCATAATTATAACACAATTTATGTTTGACAAGAATCGTCTAAAGGAAAACTGTGATACACCTAAAATTGTTGAATGATTAAATTGCTTTCTTATCGATCCCGTGATTAAATAGATAAACCTCAAGTAGAGAAAATAAATGAAGGACAACTTCCAAACAATTTTAAGGTCCAAAGGGCAAGGATTAGATATAAGACAAAGTACTATTGTTCTCAAATGCAAAAACGAATAATAAGGGACATTTAAATGGARTTCTATTTGTTATGGATGGGGAAAATTGTCTTAAAATATCAGGGTGAAACTAATAATTCCTTAGACATCTATCTATCTATTATATTACCATATAAAGCATATAAAGCAAATGCTTGTCTTGGTTTTGGAGCAAGTCATAGTTAAATCTAAATATCATATATCATATATAAYGAATATTTAGTTGCACGTGTGCATGTAAAGTTCAAAATTTTGATACGTATGGGGCCATATTGGTCAATACGTATTGTATCGGGGGCTTCGAAATATGCCCCTACAGGGGGTGTTTTGGGGTCTCAATCAATTCAAGAGGTGGATAGACCTTAAACCAGCCCCTTTCAACTAGATTAAAAAAAAAAAAAAAACTAAAAAAAGCTATAGATATTGTCTGATACGTCGTGAACCTTGTGTACACATGCTCTTATACTAATAATATACAAAGCAAAGGATTGCACGAATGGTTATATGCTCTTACACTAGTACTATATAAAGGAGATACTTGCATTGGTTTTAGTGTAGGTCATGAAAGCATGGTTTTTAAAACAGAACCAGTCAGGGCACTGTTTTCTAGTTTGGCGGTTCAACCATCTGGGTTGAACGGTTCGACCCGTGACATCATAAATAAATAAAAAACAAAAAATACTTATATATAATAAAAATACCATAGAAATTTAAATAAAACACAAAAAATACAAGAAAAAGAACAACATATGGAAAAAATAAAAATATCTAAATAAAAAAATACAAAATAAATTCCAAAAAAATATAGAAAATTTTCCAACAAATATAGAAAAAATATGTAAGAAAGAATATGTAATAAGCACCTGTTTTTTGAGAAGAAAAAAGCATATCAATTAAAAAAAATTATCTGAACATATTCTGAGAAGAAAAAAAGAAAGAAAATTCAGAAAAATATAGGATGAGACCTTGTTTTTTCATAGGAAACGAAGAATAAGAAGGATAAAAGAAGAAGAATGTTTTGATTTGATAAAATTTAGCATATTCCTTCCTTATTAGTTTAGGTTTTGAAGCCTTCAAGGGTATAAGACTGCATACATCTTGTGTATTAAGTCAGCAAGCTCGCCGAGTGTCGAGTGTCGTTGCAAGTGCTGGTGTCTGGTGAATCTTTTCACCATCGGATGCCGCTGCAAGTGCTTGGGGGAGGATGATTCTTTACGGTGCTGCAAATTCGTCGGTCGTCGTCGGTGTGTGTTGCTATCGGATGCCAGAGTTAATGGCGCCGCAGGTGGTAGGGTGTGAGGGTTGAGACTTGAGAGGACTAAGGAGTGAGGAGGGAACTCGGGAAATAACCCTAAAGGCTAAACCGAATAAGGGACTGGGATTCAAAAATCGAACTGGTTGGGATATGATTGGTATTTTATTTTTTATTTTTTTATTTAAAACATTAAAAATAAAAATATTAAACCATGAACCGCTGCCCAGGTCAAACGATTTAGCGGTCCCACCGCTCGGGTCAACAATTTTTTTGACTTTTCAACGTTTTTTTTTCAAAATTTCGTTTTCTAGTAAAACCGGACCYAGGTGGCTGACCGGTTATCGGTTTTTCTAGTTCGACCATCCGATCTGGTCCGGTTTTGAAAACCATGCATGAAAGTATAATCTAAATATATAATATTAATTTATATCTTTATCCTTTACTTACACATGTGCATAGCACATGCCCATACACTAGTGCTATATAAAGCAAATACTTGCCTTAGTTCCTGACGAGGGCGGATTTGGTCCTCCAATGACATTGTGAAACATGGCACCTCAGAACAACTAGGTGACACCCGGAATCTCTCAGGAAACAACTTGCCAAGTTGATGGTGTCCATCCTGGCGGCCTGGCCCAGACGTCGACCTGGCACATGCGCCGACCTGGCGACCTGCCAGACGTGTTCGCCGACAAATTCGACATGCATACCCCATGTTCCTTGAAGGTTAGCCCTCATTCTAAAAGATGGTCAACGTGCATGGCAGTTACCTCCGAGGATCTCGGACCAGTTAGACACGACCTCCCGGAGATCTCAGGGGTGGTATGTGAGCAAGGCCTATATAAAGGCACCAACCCCAATGGCAGGGGGGCAAGTAAGCAAATTCTATCTCTCATACTTTGTGCTTTTTAGCTCGCAGTCTACTATGAGAGTACTGACTTAAGCATCGGAGTGACCTCGCCGGGTTAGCCACCCCGGGTCCTATGACATTTGGTTTCTTGCAGGTCTCTAAAGAGCAACGAAGCTCATCAATTCAGCTCGCCACCTGATCAGCCCAGCACCTCACAGACAGCTCGACACCTAGTCAGCTCGGCACCTGGTCAGTTCGGCACCTCATAGGCAGTTCAGCACTATAGTCAACTTGCCACCTAGCCTGCCCAGCTCGACTTAGCTTGGCAGCCAAAGT